TGCCTCTGACAATGAGGGACAGAAGGACATCGACATAGCCTCAGAAAACTTTTTACAGTAACCTCATTTTGCATGCTATCTTCATCAAATTTATAATGTAAACATATGAAATACTTGGCTTTCAAGTCATATTTTTTCTAGGACATTACATTAATGTTTTCCTGTGTTTCTATCTGGAAAACTAAAATTAAACACAATAAAAAATGTTTTTCCTCATGACTTCATAATGTATAACTTTTTATATATTTTAACATACAACTTCTCCTTTTACCACAGTAAAGCTCAAAGTGTCTTCTTTCCAATGATACATAATTTGTGTTTGTAGCTTACTGGAGTCAGGAACTGTTACTATTTAAAGTTAGGTAGGTGTAAATCCCCAAAATTGAGTGCTGGCTAACAGGTTAATGATGTCCTCCACTATTCAGAGGAATTTGTGGTTACGAGAGAGATCCTAGGTCTGGTGGGAGCAAATTGTGGTGATTTACCACTTTCCACCACTGTGTTTCCTCTGTTGTTTACCGCGTCAGCATCTCCACACACGCTCTTCCTTCTATGTCATTTAACCACAGAGAAGTACCACATTGTCGCAAGTATAATGATGTATAGAACGAAATGCCTCAAAAAATCCAATCTGCCTGTTTACATGACAGTCGCATTGTCAAACATTCAATCTATATCTGATTTATTTCCACAATTGAAGGAGGCCTAAAACTGATCTCTGAATATCCGAATACATGCGTTTTTTGTTTTTTTTCCCTGTGTTTACACGGTCATAGATCAGATCCGTTCTGTGTCACATATGAGCAAAAATGGTAATTGGGTTACATTTTAACTGGCAGTGTTAACGGGACCTAATTCAGAGTCTCCCTCAACTATCTTCTAAAGAATCCACTCTGCTTCAGTTCTGCCTCCTACAACATGCAGTCATTAATTACATTTAAGATGGTCCTTGTGTCCACTACAGTGGACATTTAATTAAGGATATTTTGAAAAAAAAAAAGTTAACAACTTTAAAAACTAAATGTATTGTTCCTGACACTTTAATAAACATGTAATAATAGGAAAAAAAATGCAAAAAAAACTAAATTTTTTGCATGCCTTTCTCCTTCCCATAAAATGTGCTTGTTTGTATGCCGGCCATTTTTGATGCAAACAGATGCAGCCAATCAAATGACATATCACTAGATAGCCCAGGATGTCTGCTGAACAGTACAGCAGGTCTTGAGTAGCTCAAATTCAAAGAAAATTCATTAAAACACAATGTCCACTACAGAGGACACAAGTCAATGGGTGGGGTCTCAGGATGATACATATTATAGGTGTGCATAGATGATTTTTTTTTTAACCTAGATTTATCTCTGTAATCTTGGAATTAATCTAGATTAAGCTTGGTTTAAACTTCTGCGTCAAGTGATCGGCTTGACCCACAGCTCATGCAATGCGCGTTGCTGTGCCCTTATACTTCTGCGCGCTGCGTGTGTTCCTCGGCAATAAAACTTCCTTACGCTAACTGGCAGTAAAGTTTTTGTTTCTCTGTGTCTTTGCTGGTGTTGTTTTGTTTCGGAGCGCTACCTCAAATATACAAGTGGCTCAAACTTGCTCATTTTGAGTTGGGAATCAGCAGACGTGCAACAAATTTAATAGCAAGGTAAACCCAAAACAACAGTCTCCATCTGGAGCTCAATCTTGGGACTCGACGCTTGTAAACACTTGCTCCATCGAGCTTGCACAACTCTCCTCTGCCCACACTCGTCAGCGCTACCAACCCAACCAATCACAGAGCTTGCCATATGTGTCGTTGCAACATGTAGTTACGACCACGGGGAGGGCTATGCATTCGCACATACGCATCTGCTTGACGCAAAAGTATAAATCAGCCTTTTAAAATGGCTCTTTTGAATTTTGCCAAAGGCATTCAGAATATGTGTGCTACTCAAATAATGACTAAAAGTAAGTTTGAGAAGAGGTTTCTTAAGCCAGGTAGCGCAATAGACCAGGGGCTCATCTCCTGTTTCCAAAATGGATAAAACTGCTTGAGAAACTATTTTTTTGAAACTTTTTTTTTTTTTTATCATACTTTTATTATGATAATTGGTGATAAAACTAAATTGGTGATGAAAATAAATGTTCAATAAGATTTAATAGTATTTATTAAATGTTTATTCAGTTAAACATGAAGTTTGAACTGTAGGCCTACATAAGCTTGAAACAGCTTTTTTTTTATTTTAATACCCTAATCCAACTAAAGTCATACCTGAACTAAACAAAAATGGAATTAAGACAAGTGGAGTATGCATATATATTAGTGGCATTATTGAAGTAATAATCGCAATCAATTTATTACCGTCAGGTAGGACTTAAAGCCGAATTTTCTGACAAGATCCAAGTGCGCGGCTGTCAGTTAAGGGCCACAAACATCACGAAATGCAGAAGTTTTTTCTTTTCATTCGTTGTGCGTAATTAAATTCCATAACACTCTCACCAGTCCTTACTCCTTATTTGCGTCTAATAATACCCCAGTTTGTCACGGGGAACAAATGAAATGTTCATGAGTGAATGTGAAACTGCTGAACTGCAGTTAAAGTCACCCAAAATTACAAGAAACCCTTACATGAAAGCACTTCACGTAAGCACCCTAATTATGTTGTCTATTAAGGCAAAACTACATTACAGATGTTTGTGTAAGCGTAGTCAGTAGTGTCTTCGAAGTAAGTGAAAGATCCAGAAGGGCACTTTTTTTGTCAGACGGCTTACCGGTTTGACTTTCATTCACCGTCATTCATTTTAAAAAGCACCCGGTCCATTTTGTTTATATATGTTGTACTCTAACGCATAAACTCTACAGGTGCCTGATAGTTAGTTGTGGAGCTAGCATTAATCAGATTCACACTGCATCCATGTTAGCTTGTCATGTTTGATGTGGTAATTTCAGAGTAGAAATACACTGGTTTGAAGACTCGTTCTCGCCACCCACAGTGCAATTCCGCCAAGTAAACATCAACGCTAAAATATCAAGGTAAAAGTCATCATAGCTTGTGTAGAACAGATCCAGCTCCCAACCCAACTTTGAGAACAGACTAACAGCTAAACAGTGACTAACAGTGTTTGTTTTTTAAATCACCTGATGGGAGTCTCGCGTTAACGCTGATAACGCCCACCACTTTATATAGGGTGTTCGCGGGGTCTTAAAGTATCAAAAGTAGATCAATCAATTATGAGATAATTAAGGCCCTTAAAAGTTACTAAAAAAATCTTAATCGCATTTTGTTCTCCAAAGTGTACCAGTGTAAATATATTTATTTTTCTCCTAATATTAACAATAGCGTGCCAGTTCCACACGATTGGTTCGGGCCGGGACACGTCCGGCCAAGCTTCTCTGTCCGGGTGGTGACAAATGCAGGACGGTAATGTGACACTCTCTACATGTAGAGAAACAGGTGGTAAATAGGAAAATGTAAGTTTGCATACTCCTGGTTGAAGAAAGTTGAGTTTAAACAGTGGCTCAATCCTGTCTCTGAAAACAACCCTGTAATTTATTCTTTCAAGCTTGGTTTCTTCCGAGCTTATCTGAATTCTGTTGCATGGTTGATTTAACTACAACTGTTTATTAAAGGTGCAGTAGGTCATTGTCTTCAGAAGCATTTTTTGTTGTGCTGGTTCAAAGTCTCTTCACAGTCTAATAGTAATGATTACAGTAAATGATCTAAATGTATTTATATGTATTTTTATATTTTGGGTAAGGCATAAAACAAAAAAATGTTCATCCTATTAAATGGAGTCCGACCGACATCTCTCAATTCCGATAAGTAGCACAATCTCTTTGCAAGCAAATGCAGATTTGAACAACTGCGCAGCTGTTTGTACGCATCTCCGCCGACTGAGATCGGTAAAAACATGCTGAATCAAAACTTTTTAAAAACCTGAATCAGTATTGGAGTTACCTTTGCATGCTGGAGAAAGGATGACAACATGTCTGAAAGATTTCTCTTAGACAAGTAATGTTCTGTTTTAAAACTGTTTTAACTTCACGCAAAGCTGATGTAACGTTGTTACAAATGGGTTAAATCTTAACAGAAATGTTGTTCAGCTACTAAAATATTTCGATGAAGGACTGATGAGACTATTTTCAGTTTCATAAGAGACCTTTTACAGCATCGATGATGTACATTTTATTTAGTTTAACAACTAAACACAAGTAAATACAGCTAAACGCCTAGTCTCTCCCTATATTGTTTACCATGCAACTCTAAATATTCCCTCTAAAATCGCATGTCAGTTTGGCTTGCACGCCGCCGGACAAGCACTAGTTGTTTTTAACACATGAGAGAGGGTTCTTTTGCGGTGCTCGTGTTTCAGGAGGCGTAGCTCTTAGACGGCAGGGGAGGCACTGTGATTCAGAGATTTATGCTAAGCTGTTAGCATTGTAGAAGATCACCTACTGCAACTTTAAGTTAAAGGTTTGATACTGATTAGCACTTGCAGTAGTGATGAGGTCTTAAAATATTCCGAGAAGGTCTTTTAAACCGTTTTAAAAAGGTATTGAAATTACCTTTTAGGATTCTTGCATATACCCTGTTATAGCTCTTGGACCAGGGTGAGATCAACCCACACTTTCTCCAATCCCTGGGGCTCTATGATGGTTGTGGATATTTCAAATTGAATCATAACAAATGATTACAATTGACTGAGATTGTCATTGAACGTTCGCAAATGTGCTTTAACTGGCAGAGCAGCAAAATCTCTCTCTCTCTCTCTCTCTCTCTCTCTCTCTCTCTCTCTCTCTCTCTCTCTCTCTCTCTCTCTCTCCCTCTCTCTCTCTCTCTCTCTCTCTCTCTCTCTCTCTCTCTCTCTCTCTATATATATATATATATATATATATATATATATATATATATATATATATGATCAGACCTGCTTAAAGAGAACTATTGCATGCATCCCACAAGTGTTTTTTCTTTTCTTCTTGTGAAAAGATTGCTCTTTTTTTTTTTTTTTCCTAGGTGCAGGTCAGATGAGAGGTAGAGGTGGTCCTGGACGCATGGGTTTCCGCCGAGGGATGCGTCATCGGGGAGGAGCTCCAGGACGAGGAGCTCTAGGAGGTCGAGGTGCAGCACGTGGAATGCCTGGAGGAAGAGGTGAGAAATATTAAGCACAATTCTGCCAAGTACAGGGTTCTTACGGGTGCTGGAAATCCTGGAAAATGCTTGATTTTTAATATAGTGTTTTTAAGGTTAGAAAAGTGCTTGTGTTTTGAACAAAGTGCTTGAACCTGCTTGAATTTGAACTTAAAGGGCTCAAAATTGTGACCGTTTTGGTTGCATATGCGCACGATTTTATCTATGTGACCTCGAAATATATTTGGAAGCATGTGTGCTAGTGCATAAATTGTTGTCGTGCGACCAGTTTTCATTGCAAAATGTTCACCGCATGCGCGTATTTATGGAGCTAATAATAAGCCAAAACATTCTGAATCTGAATGTCCTATTAAAAAAAGTTTTGAATTTGTATTTCTTAACTTGATTATTGAACATCTGAAAACTTAATATTTGAAGTCAGATTTTTATAGACATTTTTAAACTTCAGATTTTTTTTGGGTTCTGAATTCATGCAGATATTGGGTATGTAAAAATAAGACTGCAGATATTGGGTATGTAAAAATAAAGTTTTACGTTTTTAGGAATTCAAATTAACAATTCAAATTCGGATAGTTTTGGCACTATTAGCTTCATACGTATTTTGGAGACATTCATCCAGAATGCATCTTTTGCACCTGAAATGCAAAACCAAAGACTGTAAAAAAAAAAAATAGTGACTGGTCCTGAAAGTTTGGTACTACACCCAAACAAAATCTGACTGTAAGCTCATTTCTTAAGATATCAACTTTAGGTAGAAAGAGGCCAAACTTAAAAACATACTTCACCCAATAACTGAACATTTTTTTATTTATTTTTTAATCACTTTTGGGTGAACTATCCCAATAAATCTATGCTCTAAAGTACTCAATTTAAGTTGAAATGTCATATCGTGTGGTTTTTAAAGTAGCACAATGTATTTAAATGTGAAAAAGTACATACAACATGTATAAGTGCAATTAATTATTACTATTAGGTGCTGGAAAAGCATGCAAATGCACCTTGAAAGTGCTTGAAAAGTGCTGGAATTTGAAGTTGGAAAAGGTGTAAGAACCCTGCTAGTAGTGTTTTCAGTTTTGCTCTAATCAGTGAAACCCATACAAAAAGCATTTTCCATCTCACCATACTAAAGCATTTCGTTCTCTCTTAGGCCGTGGAGGTATGAGAGGCCGTGGAGGGTTTGCTGGAAGGGGTCGTGGACGTGGCAGAGGCAGAGGAGCAGGTCGTCCCATCGTCACACGCGAGCAGTTGGACAACCAGCTTGATGCGTACATGTCTAAAACCAAAGGCCATCTGGATGCAGAGTTGGATGCGTATATGGCCCAGGCAGATCCTGAGAGTATGGAGTAGACCCTGTTGAGCTGAGACACAGCAGCTCCCAAAGATCTGCAAATAATAGACTGATCGATGACATAATCATCCAGTACCGTTTAAGCTTCCGCTGCTGTTGGACACTCCCTAAGACATTTACATTTTAAGGCGTTCAGACTTGAAGTTTGTACAAAGTTATGAATTTATCCCAGTTACATTCAGAGATTTGAGAGTTTTCACTCGCGGCTTCTGAATACAATCACAAATCCTCATCACAAGTTATAGTTCTAAAACAGAGGGCCTGTTAGGAAAAATGTTGGCTGTTAAGTGAAGGAATTTTGTTGTTGATTGAACTGTAATAAGAGATTGTACCTCTGCTATTTTTGGCTGAAATTCTGAAAATGGCCTAAATGTGTGAACAGTGAACTCCAAATGACATTTGATGACTCTGTGGTAAAAATGTGGCTTGTGTAAATGAACAGATGTTAATGACTGTAATGTTCTACACGTCACTTACCTTTTTATTATTATATTTTTATTTAGTATTTTTTAAGGTAGAACTTTTATTCATTACATACAGTCTTGTTTTTGTCAAAAAATGTTTTAACTATATTGTAACCCACAAACTTTTTTTTCTTTTTTCTTTTGGCATCGAATAAATCTTGGCTAATAAGATCTTGTGCTCTGGAGGACATTATCATTCTAGACATTCATTTTCATCACCGGGAAACATCCATCCATACATATACACGCATACTCTGCGGCCAATTTAGCTTACCCAATTCACCTGTACCGCATGTCTTTGGACTTCTGGGGCAAACGAGAGCACCCGGAGGAAACCCATGTGAACATGGGGAGAACATGCAAACGCCACACAAAAATGCCAACTGACTCAGCTGAAGCTTGAAACAGGGACCTTGCTGTGAAGTGATTGTGCTACCTACTGTGCCACTGTGATGCCCTCTTTCTAGACATCATTAACATGAATGATCATGTGGTATTCACTTTTTTTCTTCTTTTTTTCTCTTCTCCAACATGTTTTAATTTTAGTCTAAAAAGTAGATACAAAAGTGGTTTATGTATGCTTATTAAAAAATGTATAACTTTTGTTTCTGCTTATTTGGTAATAAAAAAAATCATTTGAATGTTTAAATTGTGCATGCTGCATTTCTCTCAATAGGTAGATAGATGCGTAAACTTGGGTACTGTGTGTGTGTGCGCAAGGAAATAAATGCAGCATTCAAAATTCAAACATTTTCCTTTGGCTTATACCCTTAATTCATCAGGCGTTAGCACATTGGAATGAACCGCCAACTTATACAGCATGTTTTGCACAGCGAATGACCTTCCAGCTGCAACCCAGTACTGGAAAATATCCAAACACACTCATTCGCACATTCTCTACGGCCAATTTAGTTTATTCAATTCACCTATAGCGCATGTCTTTGGACTGTGGGGAGAGAACATGCAAACACCACACAGAAATGCCAACTGACCCAGCCGGGAATAGAACTAAGGACTGAGCCATTCTCACCCCTAAAATATTAATAAAAAAAAAGTATATTTATGTAGTCAGAAGCTTTGACTGGAGGGTATAAATCAATTTGACTTGCATGTAAATGTATATTTGGTAGTCGGCTTGCATGTTTATTTTTATAAAATTTTGATTTGTATTGCATTATGTACATATATTTTATGTTACTATTTTTTTTTTTCTTAAAATATATCACCAAGGGTGGATTTAGCAGTTTGGGGGCCTCAAGCAACAAAAAAATAAAGTCATTTGAATGTTTAATATTGGGGCCCACGTCTTGAAATGCACCCTTTCTGCTTTTATTTAATGTTTATTTAATTTTATTTATTTATTCTATTATCTTCTTTTCTATATCTTATTTTAATCTCTACATTTTAAATGATTAGTTTTCTTAAAGTAAATAAACAACTTAAATTCATATATATATTTTAAATAGATTTGACTGCCGGACTTCTCCATGATTGTGAGTGGTGGATATTTTATTTTAGAATATTATTATTACATTACATTATTATAATAATGTAATATTTTAGTATGTATTAAATATTTTTTAATTATGTAAGATGTATTTGTTTGACCCTTACAATACAAAATATGATAGAAAGCTATGTAATATATAGTTTATAGTTTAATGTATAGTATAATTTATACTTCTAGATATTTATTGATGGACTCCAGATTTCCTGGGCTCTAAGTGGCCGCTTACCTCGCTTATTGGGTTTATCCTGTCTATCACTTCAGTAAAACAATACTTCATAGCGAGAAAAACTAATTCAACACCGAAGCCTTTTTTTATTGCATAACAAAAACAAAAGAATGCAAAAAAAAGAAGAAGAGGAATACAATGCCCACATTTGTTTTTTTACATCAAAGGACCACATCAATAGAGAATAATATAAATAAAATAACAGGAGAAATATAAATAAAAAAAAAAAATACATTATGAAGACAATGATTAAAATAAATGTTTATTTAATGGTTTATCATTGGTCCATTTTTGTTTGTGTATATGGTACTTCCCATATATAGTCATTAAATTACTGAACACATTTTGCTCCAAAGTTTTATTATTATTACTGCATTTTAAAAATGTTTGCACAAGAAAACAATTTTTTTCAATTTTAAACATAATATCAAGATCAAAACAAAATATTTGGGTATATGAGCATTCAAAAAACAGGTGTTTTATCGATTCCTCAATAAAAAGTGCACGCAAACTCAATGTCTCTAAAAACAAACTACTACTTGATTCACTGGATAAATTAAAAGAACTAGTTTATATGTCACTTCTTTAACTTTATTGATGAGACAGTATTTACTAGGTAACGTTAAACGTTCCAAACTTTTTTAAGACATAAGGAATTCCAAAAAGGTTTGCATTTGGGCAACAATGTGGTTCTGCATAACTTTTTAATGTAAAAGTTATTAAACTAACGTTAACTGTCTATAACTTTCTCACCAGTGATACTTAACTGATTAGTATGTAAAATATTGGATTCAGAAGACATATTACCAGATAAGAGCTGAACAAGTCCACAAATACTATCGCAAACTGAAGCCTTTTCCAAACGGAACTGACGTTTTGGAGAGTGACGTTGACACCGCACCATAGCAACGCGCTTGCTTGCTTATGCTCTTGCTTCGGCGTTCAGACCGAAGCAGTTGTGAGGAGAGGACAAACGCGCACTGATATTACAAGACGAGATTTGCATACTACAGCATTATTTTGCGCTAGACGTAAACAAATATTGTAAACATATTTTATTTACGTGTGAAAAGTTGAGATTGCACAAGCGATATGATGCTCGAGTCGATTGACGTGACAGGTGAGTAACTTGCTATTATATAGTAACTTAATTGGTCGTGTACAGCTTTTGCTGCTGTTATAAGTGAATCGTTCTTAATGTGATGAATGGGTAACGTTAGACATAAATACATACAGTACCTCTTTTTGGAGACTGTAAGGTGCTTAATTAAATTGTGGCTTTTAAGTTATCTTGCAGAGAAACCTATGTCAACTTAAGGTTCTCATAAAGACATTAAAATAATAGTTTTAATTGCTAAAAATAGTTCTAAGTAAATTTTGTAAAGCTCTGAAATTAAATATGTTTAAATATACAATTCATTTGTATTAATGCCACATCAATTAATGAATTCCTAATAATGTAAATCATACAGACAGATTTATGTGCTTCTATCTAGTTTGTCTCTCCGGTGCTGAGACTGGTCCTTCTACTTCAATGCACCTGTCGGAGTTGTTCTCTGTGATGAGGAGCACGGGATTGTTTCACAGCGGCACGTGGACTTGTGTTGCCATTGTGTGCCACACACTTGCCTGACATAACAGGACAGTTTATATGTATCCTTAGTCTGTTCTCCTTGGATGATGTAGATATATTTATAAAATCAGATGTCTGTATCCTAAGGGACACGTGGATTATGAAAGACTGCTGGATGGTTAAATGCAGAACATGATTGTTCAGCAGTATCTGTCATTCTGAATGGGTAAGACTATTTGTTTTGCTGTCTAATAGGATTAGCCTGCTCAGTGAAGGGAACTTACAAGACAGTGAAAGAGCTGCTTGCAACGTGATTGATATCACTGTTCTGTTCGGATCTGGTTCTCGTCTTTTGTTGGAGTGGAGGTTAAGTGGGCGAAGGAGATTTTGTTTCCAAGGAAATGGGGACGCAAGACTGAACTGACGACGGCAGTGATGATCTCAGGTTTTAAACCTACTGTATTTCCTTTACTTGAAATTCCACCTGAGCTTTCTATGATCTGTATTAATGTAGGACTACATTTATGGGTGCTTCGGTTTCCCCCACAAGTTTAAAAATGTGGTATAGATGAATTGGTTTGGCTAAATTATGCGCATTATATGTGTGTGAATGAGAGTGTATGGCTGTTTCTCAGTGATGGGTTGCAGCTGGGAGGGCATCCACTGCATAAAACATATGTTGAATAAGTTGTGGCGACCCCAGATTAATAAAGCGACTAGGCTGAAAAGAATATAAATAATGAATGAATGAATGAATGAACAAACCTCATCTGGTCTTGGATTTGGTTAAATGCGATGGTTTTCTGCATTTGCCATTAACTAGAATGCGACCGCTTTCTGGACTTGGTATTAACTCAGATATGATCATCTTTTGGTTTTTAGATAGTACTTGGACACAACACATTTTCTGGTCTGGCCTGATTTAACCATTACTGTCTTCTAGATTTAGTCTTAACTCAAATACGAGTCTCTTCAACATTTTGTTTTAATTTGATAATGACCCTCTTCTAATCTCGGGTGCAACTATTTCTTGACTGAGACTTGACCTTTATCTGGACTTAATATTATTTTAGAAAATAATCTCTTCTCTGGTGAAGCAGTGGCGCAGTAGGTAGTGCTGTCGCCTCACAGCAAGAAGGTTGCTGGGTCACTGGTTCGAGCCTTGGCACAGTTGATGTTTCTGTGTGGAGTTTGTATGGGTTTCCTTTGGGTGCTCTGGTTTGGTGGAAGAGTTCATTCCGCTGTGGCAACCCCGGATTAATAAACGGACTAAGCCGAAAAGAAAATAAATGAATGAATCTCTTCTCTTTTCAAACTTGACTCAGATACAACCATCTTGTTTTGGACTTAACTCAAACATTGCCCTTTTCTGGTTTCGGTCTGACCTTGGTATTTTCTGCATATGGTCTTGACTGGAACCTGACCGTTTGGTATTAATTTGGATGCAACCTTCTTCTGGTTTTGGACACATGACCTTCTTCTGGAATCTGTCTTGACATGGGATTATCTTGGACTACACTCTTTTAGTCTAAGACTTGATTGTTTTAGCCTTTTCCTGGACTCAGTTTTGACTAAAACTTGAAACTAAAACCACGAAGAGAGGGTGGGACATAGAGTAGCTCTGCATAAAATGAAAAGCAAATAAGAAATATCACGAAGGGGGTGGGACATGTCAGATCTTAGAAAGCATTCGGTCAAGATTTGATTAGAAACTGAAGAATGAGGTAACATGAAAAAAAATCATTGATCCATTTAGGCAGAAGTGACAAACTGCACGCTTTGGATGTTTATATCACATTTTGTATCTTAGAAACACAATTTATTCACTGTTTTGGAGCACACCAGCTTGCAGATTCCCCTAAAACTGACACTCCTGCAAATAACATCTAAAAAATTTCATTTTAATTTCACAAAAATGTTACCTTCAACTAAATTTGTTTTGGACACAACCCACTTTGGTATCTCAGACGTGACCCTCCTCTGGTCTTGATCTGAAATTGATATTTGCTCTGGATAAGACTTTTCTCTGGTCTTAATCTTGACTATGACATGACTCTTCTCTGGCCTGAGATGGTTAAGATTAAGACCAGTGGAAAGTCTCATCCAAAGCAAAATACTTTGTAAATATATTATTGATATTTCCCTCATTTGTAATTTGCTTTCAAGAAATGCATCTATTCAATAAATAAGAATAAATGTAATGTGCAACTTTTTACAATTTTTTTTCAGAAAATCTTCGATGGCCAGAGATGGAAACTTCTAAGAGTTGCGTCTTAAGCCCCATGGAAAAGCCTGTAAGCCCTAGTCAGTTGCATCTGGAGCACATATCCTCAGGCATACTGAAAGATCTGTTTAACAATGCCACTAACAGCTACAACACACTGCTGCAGAAAGAGTCAGATGCTCAGGAGAACCCTAAACACTCCACAGGCCCCAAAAGAGTCTCTACAGCAACTCATCGTGAAAGACACTTGCCGTCCCTAGCTCCTCTCTCCATGAGTGGCCTGGCCTTTGGTTGCAGAGACACTAGGCATGCTCAGTCTGTGTTCTCCTGTTTCTCCACCAGCAATTCCAAGCAAACAAATAGCATCACCGTGCTTGGCAGTTCCATCCGTCTGTCCCCCTGCCCCATTTCCAAGCCCAAAAACAGCTGCCCAGCTAGAACAAAACTCCCACAGCTGCCCAGAGCGCTATCTACTGCTCGTGATGGAGAGAACTCACTCAAGAAGCTGTGCATCCTCACTGCTATTAAACCATTCAATGTGGAGAAGGAAAAGGCCAGGTTTTTCAAATCAGACTTTAAAAACAACCCTCAGTTTGAGTACAGCAATCCTCTGCCTCCACAGGTACTAGCAAAGTATAATAATGCTTCGGATCGCTTTCTTACACAGGTGAGTGGCCATAACCTCCTCGTATTAAAGGGGTGGTCTATTACGATATCATATTTTTAACTTTAGTTGATGTGTAATGTAGCTGGGTGAACATAAACAACATCTCTGAATGTAAGACGCTCAACATTCAATGAAAAGGGAGAGATTGGCTTTTACATAGCCTACAGCGAACAGGGAGTATAAAAAAATACATCTGGGCCAGTGAGATCACAAATGCTTTACCATGCGCATACACACTGCGCAGCAACGGGTTGTGACCAGAGGCACTGCAATGTTTCGGCAGAGAAAGCTGAAATGCCATTCAAACACTGCTATTTCCACAGAGCTTGTTCTGTTTCTGTATTCGGGCTTCCAAAGGACACAACATAAACAGAGAAGTGCTTAAAATTTAATTTTAATTATGTTCCAGAGAATTATAATAAAGATATAGCTTTAGTATTTGACCAAGGACAGCTTCCAGAATCTCTCCCAGTTCAGTGTTGGAATTGGCTTAATACTCCTCAAAGAAGGAGCAGCTCCAACCATAATAGAAGAAGCTGTAGATTGTGAGCCACAACCTGTAAGTTTTTTATTTGTTAAAATTGATCTATTACATGCATAGTGTATAGAGTCAACGGTATGTTGTAGCAAGGACAAAAACAAGGATGTAAACAATGGGAAATGCTGTTTGGCACCATCAACAATTTATCTACAAATTTATATTTATCCGTCAAATCGCTGTACACAGCCACTATCTTCACCAGCGCTCCAGTGTCTCTCCATGCGGCCGCTTTCCTTGTGTTCTACATCTCAAATAACAAACTCGAAAAAGATATGTGAACATTTCATATTACTTACACATGCTTATAACCCAAATATATGAACAAAAACTTGTCAGATTTTATTTTTGAGTATTAGCGTGATGTTCAGCGGTGTCCTCTGTCTCATTTTATATCTAATTCAGGCACATGATACGGCTGACAGCTATTCTGACTTACACAGTGCAAAATCACGTGCTTGTAGAGGCTTGATGATTTTCCTGGTGACATGGAGTCAATCCATGAATCACAGCACTTTGTTTTACCTTTAAGTACTTTGTTTTACTCTGACCAATAGCATTCATCAATATTTAATTAAAGTCACAACAATCTAAAAATAAGAGTGCTAAAACTGATATCACACAAACACTGGTATGTTGTCATGTTTTATTGAACACAACATGTAAACATTCACACTGCTAGGTGGAAAAAGTATGTGAACCTTTGGGTTTAATAACTGGTTGACCCTGCATTGGCAGCAATAACTGCACAAGGGTCAAGAGGGATTTCGAACCATTCCTATTAATAAAACAGTTTCAGTTCAGCAATATGCTTGGGATGTCTGGTGTGAATCGCTCTTTTGACCAATAGAAAGCAGATTGGCATGAAAATTAGGAATATTGACTTTGATGCTTACCATTTGTGTTTACATGTTAGTACTAGGTGTCACGATGACACTGTGGATAGCACGATCGGCTCACAGCTAGAAGGTTGCTGGTTTGAGGCCTGGCTGGGTCAGTTGGCATATCTGTGTGGAATTTACATGTTCTCCTCGTGTTCGCGTGGGTTTCCTCCGGGTGCTCCGGTTTCCCCTACAGTCCAAAGACATGCGCTATAGGTGAATTATATAAATTAAATTGGCTGTAGTGTATGAGTGTAAATGAGAGTGAATGTTTCCCAGAGAGGGTTGCAGCTGGAAGGGCATCTGTTGCATAAAACATATGCTGGATAAATTCATTTCAACAAAGTTTCTTTGTTTGTAATTCTTACAAATGTACTATAATATTTAAAAATAGGTCATTAAATAAGATTAATTAACTCCTGAAAGGTAACTTTCTGGCTTTTGTTCATTACTATCAACATGGATTTAGTAAGAAACAGGTGTATTACTTTTACAGGCTTGAAATACAGCTTCTGAAAATGAATATGATACTACCACTATTAGTGTTTCTACTGCGTGTCGCCTACAACACATTCAGACCAATAAACATTTTTGAAGGCTAAAGAGTTCATTTATTCAGTTTAATTCAGTTTCCTGCTAGCTATTAACAGAGCCCACCATCTCAAAACCAGGGGGCCATATAGCATTTTCTGCCTCTTCCGCCTCAGCTGGCTGCAAAAGCCAACAACAACAACTACATAAAAAATATACTTTACCAGGGAACTGAATAATGTCTATAAGTACACACCACTGTGTATAGTGGCTATATTAGAGGTTTGTATGGGTGAATGGAGTCATTTCAGACCATTACATTGATTATTTCAGAGTGCTGAGCTCATTGTGATTTCCCTTAGGCATATCCTGACAGATCACAAATTAGTTTTCATAAATCCACACTCAGCCTCAACTGTGGCCTAGTTATTTGCTGAGGTCTACATTCACACCACTACAATTGAGTGTTATATTGAGCTGTGCTTCATGTAAACATGGTTTACTTCATTTACACCATTGTTTCATCTCAAAGCGCAAACAGTATTGAGATGCATTAAGAAACTGTCAAAAGCGTCTCTGTCTCAAGAAGTCATCAAAAGTGGATAAGCTCAAAATATTTTAGACCCTTTTTTTTAAGTTGTAGCCTATTGGAAAGTCTAAATGTTTTCTGTTGTCTCAGGCTGTTCGGATCATGGAGTTGGCTTTGCAGAAATACGGCTCCTATGAGAAGTTTGAGCAAGCCACCGGAGGAAATCTCCTTACCAAGAGCCGCATCGGGTCCCATGTCAAAAAATACATGGAGAAGGAAGGATGCACAGGAGAGGTGAGAGAGTGAGATAATTAAAAACAGATGTTTTTTTTTTTTTTTTTTTTTGAAAATGTAAAAAATTGAGAAAATACAAAATACTATAAAAACAAAACACAAAGGGCCCTATCATACACTCGACTCAATAAGGCACCAGTCGTGTTTGACATGATTTGATGCTATTTTCAAACCAACACAACCCTTATCTTTCCATTTTGTGCCACATTGTTTAAATAGCAAATCCATTTGTGCCGCTTTGTAGACTTATGGGTGTTCTGGTAAAGAAAGAATTTTGTTAAGGCGCAATGCTGGTGCGTTGTTATTTTGAGGAACTAAAATAGACTGTGCATATGACCAGCTGACAGCTGAAGTCTAGCGCAGAGCGTGTTAGTTGTGCGGATTAAATGGTTACACCTTGCTTAATAGACACAGAATGTACAGTAATACGCAAATTTCTTTACAAATGAAAAAGAATTAAAGTGAAAGGATTAAAATATTACAAAAAAATATATTTTTAACATAAATATAAAACTTGTTTCAGTTTGATCATGACAATTTGCTTTTGTATAATGTTATTATTACTATTATTATTATTATTTATTATATGCATATTTATATTTGTTTTAATACAAACGAGCTTAGATTCATTCATCTTAGATTTATTCGTCTGGTTTTGGACCATATAGGTTGGGTGTTTGGATATAACTCAGTTTTTATGTTTTAATGTTATTATTGTTCATTTATTTGTTTACTGGAAATTAGAATTAAATTTAGCAATAGTTTTGAAACAAATCTTTGCTCTTAACAAACAAAATTAAATATGTAGGCTGATGAATGTCTTCAGTAGAGTGTGTACAACACCGTTTCCTTATCCACGAAAGTAAAGGAGTAAAGTAAAGAGAAAGTAAAGAGGCCGAATAGAGGAGGCTCGTTCTTTATCCTCGCACTGCAGATGGTCTGTTAAACTGTTTTCTTGCTAGTGAAGCATTCAGTTTTTCCTAGGAATGCACCGATATGGATTTTTTGGCCGATACCGATAACCGAAAATTCTTCAGACTTGGAGGCCGATAGCCGATATGTATAGGCCGATGTTTATAAATATTTCAAAATAATATATTTTTATACAGCAAACTTCATATAAGATTGAACTGCTCTTATGAACTAAATAGTCTGTACTCAAAGCAAAAAAGCTTTAACTTCAAAATTGCAAGGTGATTATAGACCTATATTCACAATTTCACATAAATCCGCATGCAAAAAATACATTACTTCCTCTCTTCATAGCAAATTAACATGCAACTTGACTGTTGCATAAAATTAATAAGGTTAAATAACAAAATAGGATTTAATCAACAAGCAAGTTAAATATATTTAAATAAGATGAAAATGAAAGCACTAAGGACTGAAACCAGCTCAAATGTTCTTGAATAAAACGTGTTACAGTGATGTACACATGTACAAATACGTCATGTCCGAAAAAGCCTTTATCAGAGGTGTTTTGACAGTTCAGAGCCACCGTACAAGCGAACAGCTAAATATATATAGTACGTTTAGAAAATGAGACAGATTCATCCTATTTGGCTTTTTAGATTATTTTGAACATGTAGCTGTTGCTTGTCAAACAGACAACACTTCTGCGCCTGTTCTTGCTGTCAATTGCTGGGAAAATGATCGATGAAAAGTTTATTTTAAACCGCTGAGAGTTTCACTTAACTGTAGAGGCAAAGTTGCCATCAGAGTCAGATTTTCATACAAAACCTGCATTGAGCTGACTTTATGGCTAACAGAGCTGAATATAAAGACAGAATGAGCCGCTGGTCGAGAGCCTCTATGACTGGATTCACCTCTCCCCCGTGCTACAGTGTGTGTGTGCGGTAACAGCTCGCGCGCTCGTCATAATCAATATGAATATTCCGATCAAACTGAATACATCTTACATCAACAACATGACAAGCAACGCATTGATAATAACAAATAATCAGATTACAAACAACTGTTATGTTTACACATGTTGTAAAATGTGCGGGTCCAGCTGCAGTTTGGGGTGTGTGTGTGTGAAGCGAAGAGGGAGAGAGAGAGAGGAGCGGTTTTTGGGCAATGAGACTATTTTAGGTGACTGATTTGTTGTACCACACGGAAAGTAATAAAAATTTTGGACCAAGCTACATGTGTCCTCGTTCATTCATGCAACTAAAAGAGAAGGCAATTCACCACGAAACTAATATTATTCGGCCCTGGAGTAATAAATTAAGATCCCCTGCTATCTCTACACAACAAAGAGACGGAGCAGGAAAGGTTTACACATGTAAGGTTTTTCCTGAGGCGATTTAAAGCAAAATACACTATGACACTCAATCAAACACATGTACAATGATAAGGAACATGGCTACTTACTGACTTATTAACGTACAGCAATACCACATGAATAAATGACAGACTTTGAAGGAATAAACAGTGTGGGAGAGATCCATTATAGTGCACTGGGCAAGTCTGAACAAGTTCCACCTACGCGGCACGCAGGTCTGTACAATTATGTAATTTATCGGCTTAAAGATATGGGCCTAATTTAGACATCGGATCGATAACGATAATCTTAAAAGAGCATTTATCGGCCGATAACGATATGGCCGCCGATATATCGTGCATCCCTAGTTTTTCCACTTACAAAGTCCACAATATGAATAGCAAATACACCATGGTGTGACGCAACTGACTCTTAAAGGGAATGTGACATGAGACTCTGATTGGTTTAATGCACGTTATTCTCAAAAAACACAGCTATAACTGTTTGACGATGTGCTGTGGTGCAAAGCGTATTTTTCCATCCTTAAAATAGCAAAAATGGATTCGGACACTACTTTAAAGCGTGTCGCATACCGGATGCGTCGCTCAGCATCGGTATACGGCACGCACATGACAGTTGGAAGTATCGCACACCAGATGCACACATTTGCATGGTATTTAGGATGAAACTATTCAGATGGCGCTCTGTGGCGCGACAGAAATATGAACAGTGTCCTGAGTCATGGCTGGGCATTGTGGACAGCCACCGACTTGCGGCGCCAGCGTGACGTGTTAAAGGGGGTCTGGCGTGTGACCCCCTTTAATGCTTTTGCACCATGTGCTTTAAACTCTGTGCCTAGATCGTAAAATAGAGCACAAATTATAAATATGGCTCTTAAGTTGACAATGGCTGCATTTATTTGATTAAAAAACAGTACGGTTGTGGAATATTATTGTAATTTTAAATAACTATGTTCTAATTGTATATATTCGAAAATGTATTTATTTCTCTTAACCAAATTTTCAGCATCATTACCCCAATCCCACAAATGTTTCTACTTACTGATGTGTTTGATTTGGTTCTTAAGATACATTTCTTTATCTTTTTAATACTTAAAATTTTTGCAGCATGATAATGAATATTATGATAATGTAAATATATGCTAGTGTTATTTTAGTAACACTAAAAAAAAGGTATAATTCTTTATTAATATTTTATTTACCTAATTACTTTTTATGTATATGGTTTGTTTGTTTGTTAGTCTGTTTGTATTGCAATTGGTAGATTTTGGTATATTTTAAGTTAAATGGTTAGTTAACCCACGCATAAAAATTTGGAAACTATTGACATCTCTCAAGTGGTTCCAAAGCTTTATGAATTTATTTGCTCTGTTGAAAAAAAAAAAATTTTAAAGAAAGCTGATAACCTGCAACCACTGACGTCCACAGTAGGAAAACAAATACTATGGAAGTCAATGGTCACAGGCTTCCAGTTTTCTTCGGAATATCTTTTTGTTTAAGAGAAAAACAACAACAACAAAATAAATAACTTGATTTTTATTTTTGGGTGAACAAACCCTGTAAGGCATCTGTGCTGATTAAAATTTACCTTTGCTTCCTAGTGCAAATGTCCAATTTTTTGAACGTTAAATTTAAGGTGTTTTCTTTTTATCTTGACAACTTTGTAAATGTAGAAATTTCTCTCTGCAGATTGTGGTTCATCTTACTGATGACCTGCTGTCCAGAGCGTCAATGACTGTGGTGAATGGCAGACCTACTCTCACCATTAACATCTCTACTGCCAGAGAGCAATGGCTGGAGGGGATGCTAAGGCATGAAATCGGTGTGTTCGTCTTATTCTCTGCGTTATTTGAGTCTCATATTAAGTAACTGAATAGAATAAACTCTTGTTTTGTAGTTCAGATCGTGTCTCGGACACCCCAATCAAAATCAGTCATCCGTGTTCCAGCAGCTTGTGTTCCTGTTGTCAGAGACTGTTAAATCCTGTGCATATCAAAGCTCAGTGTCATGACCACAGTAATTACACTCCCTCACTGTGTGTTCTCAATCTATTCACTTTCTCTATTTGCGACTGAAAAGCATCATTTATACTGTTGTTGTAAAGAAATGTACAAAACTCACAAGACTCTTATATAAAGAACTGAGTTTTGTGCTTATGTTCCATCGACTTCATAGTATTTGCTTTCCCTTGTCAGGAAGTCAAAGGTTACAGGTTTTCAGCTTTTTTCAACATATCTTCATTTATGTTCAACAGACGAAAAAAACGAATAAAGATTTAGAACCAATCGAGGGTGAGTAAACAATGAATAAAAAACATTTTTGCTTTTCAGTTAACTATTCCTTTAAACAATGAATAAAATATCATTGGATGTGTACTTGCACTTAAAGGGTTAGTTCACTCAAACCTAAAATTCTTTCCTTAGTTACTCAACCTCATGTCATTCTAATCCCCTTAGACCTGAGATGATCATCTTTGAAACTCAAATTAAGATATTTTAGATGAAATCCAAGAGCTCTCTCGTCCTTCATAGAAAACAACAGTCCTTGATGTTGAAACACTTAATACACACACTCAAAAAAAATTTTTTTTGTTCTCATTCAAAATATTTATATAAAATGAGCTGAAACAACACAATTTCTGAGATTTCATTGGGAAATTATTTTTTTATGTTCAATCCACACAGTGTTGTTAACTTAATCAATTTGTGTTGGTACAACATAAATAAATTGTGTGGAACCCTGCATTTTTTACAGTACAGATACACCATATTGAACATGTATTAAACACATAGACATCACCTTTGTAGATGGACACTATAAACTGTATTACTGCAGTTTAACTATGTTTATATACTGTCCACCCTATACACTACTCCTTAACTTTTCTGATTTTGACTGTAATGTAATAATATGCACCTTTTGTAAAGCTGCTTTGGAACGATAATTATTAAGTATTATTAAGATAATTAAAGGTGCTTTATTTATGTTTTGACTCTTCTAAAGCATATTTTGCAGATATTTAAAAAAAACATGCCAAGTGAACATTCTTGTTCTTCTGAAGAACAATGGTAAAGTCAGATATTGAAAATGTCTGTTATGTGCCGAAACGCTGTCTTTGTTTTGGTTCTTTTAATCTGCCCATTGCCAGTTTTGCCAATTATATATTAGCAGCCCAGGTTTTCTTGGTGGAAAACCCCTTATTTCATTTATTCAGTCATGAAGGCCTTAAAAAATGCGAACTCTAGTGGACAGTAGCAGACCCCGAAATGAGACACAGATTCAGAGTTCCACAAGAGGTTATTAATTTGCAAATAATACACCGTAAATATTATGAATGTAAAAATTAGGTGAGCAGCTTACATTGTAACTGTGTGTCCTAACAACATGCTACATGATAAGATTTGCAGTGATAAGCAGATGGGCTGTTTGCACCAGATGCAACACGACAGAAATTGAAATACAGCCATTCAGAAGTACAGAATATGTTCTCACTCTAACCACGAAATAGTCAGGTTTTTAATCTATTCAATACATATTAAACCTCTCTAACATTATTAAATGTAGATGCTGAGTCACTGATATGTGTTGGTGTGCATTAATTAACAGTTCTAAAGTTCAGTTTTATAGGGTTTTTATTTTATTTTCAAGATCTGAGGTGAACTATCTGCCGCTGCTATCAGTGTAGTAGTGGCAATAAATGCTATGTAAAGTGGCATTCAAACTCACATTGTTAGTATTTAACACTGAATAAAGCACATGAGGTTTACCTGAGGTGATCATGGTCATTTTTAATGTTGTTTACTTGTGAGAAATTTAAGTTGTTTCTAATTCAAGGTGTTGGTTACAACAATAACTACTTTTAATATGGAAAATGGGCTGCATGGTGGCTCAGTGGGTAGCAAAATCTCCTCACAGCAAGAAGGTTGCTGGTTCGAGCCCCGGTTGGCATTTCTGTGTGGAATTTGCATGTTCTCCCTGTGTTTGCGTGGGTTTCCTCCGGGTGCTCCGGTTTCCCCCAAAAACATGTGGTATAGGTGAATTGGGGAGGCTAAATTGTCCGTGATTTCAACAGTAAAAAAACTGTAAAAATGCTACAATCAAAATACCCATCCTGGTTAACACTATGTTTCCTTAATATGTACGGCTAATAACCGTAAATTGACTTTCCCAGAATTCCATGCATGGCACATAACTTTTTGTGCTTTTTGTTGACATTACTATGGATCTTTTTAGTTGTTTCCCCATTAGTTATGTGCATTAGAGGTAAATGTTACATCTAATGTTGATAAACAATGTTTGTGATGAGCATTGGTTTATTACAAAAGAAGTATAAATGTTGGTAACTCAAACTACAGACATATTACATGTATAAATGACTGAATTACGGTAGTTTACCGTAAAAATGAGAAATTGCTTTTACGGTTTGTACAGTATTTTTGACGGTAAAAAACTGGCAACCATAGCTGCCGTTTTTTACTGTAAATTTTTCAGATTTATTTTTTTATGTGTTTGAATGAGTGTTTATGGATGTTTCCCAGTGATGGGTTGCAGCATAAAACATATGCTGGATAAGTTGGTGGTTCATTCTGCGACCCCAGGGACTAAGCCTAAAAGAAAATTAATGAACAAATGAATGAATATGAAAAGTATTCCTTCTATCGTGTGCTATTGTAGAGGTCTGCATTCCCGCGGGCGCCGCAGGACCCAACCAGATTTCTGCGGCGCGGGAATAAATTTCCGAATAAATCGCGGGAGCGGTCGGTAACGGGTTTAATTTGGGGCGGGAGCGGGCTGTCTAGCAATATCGCGGATATTGCTATGCGAATGAGAGAGAGAGAGAGAGAGAGAGAGAGAGAGAGAGAGAGAGCAAGCTTTGCCTGTGTGTGTGCTTGGTGCTTGTGTGTGTATGTTAGTGCGCGCGCAAATGAGAGAGAAAGCTTTCCCAGATAGCAAAATACACTCGGGCCAGTTCCGGCTAGATTCTCGCCTGCCAGAGACTTACCACTCAGCCCGGCTCCTGCTCCGGCTGCTTGTGGACTCACTGCCCGATTCCGGCCCGAATCGATCGGGCCAGCTGCGGCGACCGTAAGCGAGCCGACGCTGCCGCATCCGCGCCGGAATCGGCCAGAGAGTAATGTGCGCTGCGGCCCGGAGCTGGCGCGACTCAGTATTTATATACCTTTATATAAAACCTTTTGGTATTACATTGGTACTTGATACATGGTATTACAAGCCTTTGAGTTGATATAACAGCAAACGCCTGTGTGTCTGCTAGGTGCTTGTGTGTGCGTATGAGAGAGAGAGATTTGTCTGTGTGTGTGCTTAGTGCTGTGTGTGTGTGTGTTTATACAGACAGCTTGGCTGTCTGGACTGTATAGCTGGGGGATTTTCAGTTTTGTTCTCCCCCGCTCTTTAGCGGGATCGGGCGCGGCGGCCAGAAAACGGGGCAGGTCGGGCAGCGGGACAATAAATTCTTAATACAAGCTGGAGCGGTCGGGTTCGAGCTAAAACCTGGCGGGTGCAGGCAGGAGCGGGATTCAAAATTTAGTCCCGCGCAGATCTCTATGCTATTGCTTTTATTTAGAACACAATTTAAATCAGCCTTTAGGCTTGAGACTCGCTCTTGTTGGTCGCCAATCTGGCAACCTGCACTTGCGTTTGTTTTGATCCAGGAATGCAATACTTAGTTCAACCACTGAGTCAAACGTACATACTGCAGCTTTATGTGCTAGACAAATAAACTTGAATTTACTTGAATGTTCTATGGCCAGAAAAAAAAATTGTCAATAGATTCCATGTGATTTCAGTTTGGCCTGATTTGATTGGTAAAGTAAACCAGTCTTCATCTTCTTTGGCTCAGGTACGCACTATTTCCGTGGCATCAACAACAGTCGTCAGCCGTGGAGCAGCATTGCCGGCAGGAAGAAACACGGTCTGCGGCCCATCAACCCCACTGAGGAGGGTCTGGCTAGCATCCACAGCGTTCTCTTCCGCAAGGACCCTATCCTGTGGCGTGCAGCCCTGCTCTACTACACCGTCTATCAAGCTAGCCACATGTCCTTTTCACAGCTGTTTCACGACCTGCGTCGATTCGTCCACGACCCCAACACACGATGGGACTACTGCGTCAGAGCCAAACGAGGACAGACGGACACCACACTGCCAGGTAAACAAGAACAAGTACACAAGTCTTCGACACATATGGGGTTCATTTATGAAACTCAATCAGAACTATTCTTTGTGCAGATAATTTGTAAAGCTATTGTGATGTAAATGTTTGGTAAAGGTGCACCTGCTTCCTACTATGTGTAAAAGATTTTTTTAATTTTTTTTGGCAAACTGCTTGCACTGAATTTTTATGCACTAACATAATAATATTACAAGTTTGTTTGGTCTTTTTTTAAGCTGAGAGTTGATAACTGTTTAACTATGGGTAAAACAGAATACTCATCAATACAGTTGTCCAATCAGTGGATGAAGGTTGGGACAAATATTAATTTAAATAAAAATTATCATTCTGTACTTTTACAACCACTGAACAGAAAAAAAGTAAATATTACTGGTAACTGCATTTTAATATCCAGTGTTATTCCTCAAGATGAGATAAAAAATAATACGTTACTGCAACAAATTCCAAAAAATAGCAATCAAAGTGTTAGCTGGAAAAAAACAAACATATTTAGTAGAGCCCCTGGGATTTTGAAGCTGGCTAAATGTGTTTTGGTGGACACTTGCTAATTCAATATTTACTATTAGTTATATGGCCTCGTCTTTTTGCATTAATGTAACAAACTGGAGAAAGAAAGACGTCCAGAATATAACACTCCAGAACTTGTAACTTGCACAGGCAAGTTATAATTTATAAGTGAGCATTATGCTAATTGTAAATGAAACTAATGCTAATTGTGTAACATAAACACTAAAGTATAAATTCATATGTTTACGAAGCATTTGTGAATCTGGAGGAATTTTCAGGAAGGTCTGTTTTACATGCAGATTACCCCGAATGTATTACTCTATTTATGAATGTATGATGAATGAGACCCAATGCATTTTTTTAAAACAGACTGTTTGTTATTCAGGCTGTTTCTGTAAGGACCAGGTTTATTTAGATGGCATCTTGAAGATTCTCAGACACCGAGAAAAGATTGACTTCCAGCTGCTCATGGCTTTGGGAAAGGTACGTTTAAAGTCAACATTGAAAATGGTCCTATAAAGGTTTAAATGGCAGTGTTAGGGTTAGAAAAACAAAACATTATTTTTACCCAAATCTTTCGCTCATACTATACTTTTAATCTACTTTAATGAATATTTAAAGATACATCATTAAAATGCTGTAAAAAACCTATGCACTTTTAAACACACTGACCAAATAAATAGGATTTTATATAATTACTACAGAGAATTGTCCCAAACATCAGAAATCTGTTTACAAATTCTGAAACTGCAGTTGTAAAAACACCATCTGTAAAAACAATCTTCACTCTATAACCCCCCGCCTTGCTCTAGCACAGGTGAGTCAAACTCAATTCCCAGAGGGCCGCATCCCTGCACAGTTTAGTTCCAACCCTAATTAAATACACCTGATTTAACTAATTGAGTTCTTCAGGCGTATTTGAAACCTACAGGTAAGTAAGTGTGTTGGAGCAGGGTTGGAACTAAACTGTGCAGGGGTGCGTCCTTCCAAGAATTGAGTTTGACATCCCTGTGCTAGAGCAACGCTCTAACACTTATGGCCCGTTTCCACTGTGAGGTACAGTACGATACGGTACAGGTCACCTTTATCAAGCTTGCGTTGATAAAGTCAGCAAGCTGCCAAAAGGGTGTGGTGGGCATGGTGTACGACAGAAAGTTTCAGACGTTTCTTTTTTTACTCGAGGAAATGTCCACAGTAAAGCCGTAAGGGTCGTTTACATGTCATATGAGAAGCACTTCTCACAAAAAAACAGATGCTTTATACACATAAATACTTGTGTATAAATGTTTATTACTAACCTTTCTCTAACATGATTTGATTATAACAGCAGATCAATGAAAGTGCCAAATAGCCTACTGTAAAGTTTGCAATTACATGAAATAAATAAATAAATGCAACATATATGAGCACATACAGACCCTTACAGTCTCTGATATGTTATCAATTACAGAAAAACTACACACAGCATATATTTAGTCCTTATTTGGGTTCAAAAACAACACGAAATATAGCCCACAGTCAGTGCAAACCTCTCATCTGTGTCTTTAATCTTCAGCAGCACATGTAACCTCTTGTTAAAAAGTAATTCCGTCATTCTGAGTTCTTAATAGTCCACAAGGCGATGATAATAGTTAAACATGGCAGTTTGTTGATGTTTTAGGTTACAGAAGCATCATTTGCTGCTTTTTTTTTCCAGCTTCTCCTTTTTTTCCTGCTTCACTCTCGCGTTTGTCTCTTTCTGACAGGATCTGATATTAGAACCCTTCAATGATCTTGAGCACATTATTAATATAAGCTCAAAAACCGCTCGCACTGTTAGACGGGCTCGTAAAACAACAACAGGACACAGCAGTTTGTTTGAGTTCAGGTCGACCATGGCTTGTTATTTTATGTATATATTATTATGGTGTAATGTCTTGGCAGCTCTACCTCCGCCTTTTGGTACCCTTAGTACCCTTTGCAAAGGGTGACCAAAAAGTGGTACAGAACGGTTTGGTTAGGTACGCCTTTTGACAGTGGAAACGGCCATAAAAGCGTACTGAACCGGACCGTACCGTACCATACCACTCAGTGGAAACAGACCATTAGTCTTCTGAGCACTATCGGTTCCTTTGTGTAATTAGCATGTGTTTTGTGTATTGGCTCTTCTTGTTGAGTCACTGAATGCCACATCAATTGTAAGTCACTTAGGACAAAAGTATCTGCTAAATGACAAAGATAATTGTATGTGTTTTGGGCAGGTGTCCTATGAGGATGTGGAGCGTCTGAAAGGTCTGGCTCTGATGGATCATGTGCGGATTCCTCACTTCCTACAGGACCAAGCGCATTACACGGAGCAGCTTCATAAAATCATGGAGGTCAACCAGTTAACTGATGCGGAGCTGAGCACACTCATCTGAACATGTGGCATTTGATCTTCTGTTCTTACATGTGAAACAGCTGCTTTGTAAATAGGTGAATTTCACAAACCTACCCAGGCCATGCAATACTTTACCAAGAATATGTTCAGATCACTTTTTTAAATATTTCCCCTCCAATTCTGTAACAAATTATTTTGTTACAAAATAAATTTGAATGCTGCAATGTAAAAATAACATTATATAAGCGTAAATTCAAAACGTGATTTTTATGTGTATAAAATGGGATCCTGGCATGTTTTTGTGAGTTTCACCCTGATGAGGACTGAAAAACAAAGAGATTTCTAGGATAAAGACTGGAATACATAGTCACACAGTGGCCTATAAAGCTGTATTTGTTTTTCTTTACTGAAAGTTATCATTTTGAGTATTTTTGCAGGACCTATCAGAGTCCTGTCAGAAGACACTCAGGACATGTGGATTCTCTTTTGAAAAGGGATTAAAATAAATGCCAAAATGACAGATTTTCATCAGTTACATGTTGCCAAACACTCATATGAACTACAAGTTCCTTAAGCCATTTATTTTCTCAATTTATTTTACTGTAAACTTTAACTTGCTTGTGTAGTATAGTTTTACATATTTTTGGCTGATTTTACAAAAATACTTTGATTTTGGTGCCAATATGTTAATTTGTTTAAGTGTATTTTATATAAGTCGACCATCATATTTGTTCAAAGTATAAATTGTATTAATAACATCTTGCTAGAACATGTTTACTACCTTGATTCTATTGTTGATGTGCAGTATCTGACCTTTGCTGTCTTCCCATATTTTTATATATATATATATATATATATATATATATATATATATATTGTTGTCTTTAGAAGTTGCCTGTAAAATACTTTACGGCCCTAGACAGTTTTCTTTTTTAAATGACCTTCCTACATTTAAAGGATTTAATAAATGCATGCCTTGCTTTTCCACATATCATGCTCAGATGTTCAATCCAAAGGTAGAACACTAGATCTTTAATGTAGGATGTGATTTTTCCATTGATTCTAAATGAAGTGTGATCATTGTTTTCAAGTGAGCAAGGATTCATCTTCATTCCCACAAAGCCCTTTCAAGCACACCGTACAGTGATCTTTTGACAAACTCTTTCCACAGGTGTCTGTTCTCACATGTCTCTGTAAGCAGATCCTGGAGTCACTTCAATCACCTGCTGACTGACACCTACATCAGGACGCACAGGACAAAAGCTTTACACACACATACACGCACCTCATTAATCCCTCTGAGTGCTTAGTTTTCACACTTCCTGTAATCTGTAGGATTAAGCTTGGATTTTTGTGTCATTAGGGAATTCATGCAGTGCAAATTACCTCAAAATGATATGAACAGTCACAGGTGAAGCACATATTGTCAATCTCTGGGTCTGTCGTCAGTCATGGTAAAAGTTAATGACACCTTTGGCAAATATGAGCAATAAAGGCTGTGAAAATGAAATTGTAGTATTTACTTTTTAGTTTTCATTTAAAAAGATGTAAAAATGGAACCTTTCATTCAAATAAAACAACTGAAAATATAAAGGAAATCTTATTATGAAATATTTTTTCTTTATACATATTGGTTAAAGTGATTGGATTGCTGGTCTCGGGAGAGGAGACTGAAATGGCCTCTGCAGTTATTTTGTGTTATTAACGCTATTTTGTGTCAGTGACACATTTTTTGTGTTCAGTTTTGGATCTTTGTCATTACTGAAAAGCCAATCATGGACTGTCATGAGACTTCTACAGGCAGTTGGGTTTTATTATTTTATGTTAGTTTTTAACTGGAGCTGTCATAGTGAGTCTGGCACAAAAATAATCCTATAACATCAAAGATTCACCAGTATATTTTACAGTGGACACGCGGTACCTTTTTGTGCAGCAAACCAATCTTGTGTGCTGGAAAAGCTTTTTAGTTTTCTCTGACTGTAGAACCAATCTTACTTGAAGGCCCAGTATCTGACAACCATCATGAACACTAACCCAAGGTGCTGTTTGATTTTCTTCTTTTTAACTTCAAAGACAAAGTTGTGCATATAGATAGGCAAAAGTACTGTGAAAAAAACTTTAATCTATTAACCAATTTGAATCAATTTTACTATAATGTACATAATTTTATAGCTAAGTTTCATAATTTCATGGTTTCTTTATTTATTTTAATACGTTTTTACAAATTCAAATCTTGAATTTATTATTAGTCAATAAAAATTTTATAATCCAACCCAATACACTTTTTGTGCAGTGTGTAAAACTCATGTCCATGGAAATTTGCAAAAAATAATAGAAACGGATCCTGCTGTTACCTAATTTTGCCAGCAGGAGGCAGTGGAGGAACCTCCCTTTAAAACTCGATTCAAATGAGAGAGTGAGGGTAAAAGGGTAAATCAGCAGGAATGTGATATTTCTATCAGAACAGTTTGGTCTGTCGGGATAAATCTTTTGAAGGTTCGTTTGTTGTGGAGGTGCGGCAAGCTTTACCCTGAGGTAAAAGTGACACATCTGAGAGGTCAAATATTTCATACACAAAACATTTTAAAGACATAAATACAAACAAACTATTTTAAACACTGCTTGGTGACTACAGCTGACAATGCTTGATTAAAAGTTTTGAATGAGCACGTGACACTATTCAGGCATTATTCATTTAGTAGTCATGATGAAATGTTTGCTATTTGAAATAAACACATTTTGTATTATTCTTGCAATCTTATCAAACCATGATCTTATTTAAAACTGTTAACATTAAATGAAATTAAATACATGACCAGCACTTGAGCATTACTTAGGGTCTGTCAGTAGTGATCGCCTGCCTGATTTTTGTCAAAAGGTAAAAGTTGTACAAAGTTTGATAGAGGTGGTCACCTCCCTCCTACTTGTCTTTGCAGGAAAAACCCAGAGTTATTGTAATAAGATGTGAGTGTTTCCAACAATAATAGAAAATAGTGATAGCTATATATATTTCATATATACACGTTACAGGATTAATATGAATTCATCTCTCGAACAAAGATGACACTAAATATAGTCTTATTGCTTAGAAATATAACATATCTTAGCAATTCCATGCAAATGTCAACCTTGCCATAAAAAAAGTTTTCACCAAAACCAGAACCTGTTTGTTTTTGTTTTTTCTTTGTTTGTTTTTTTGTCTACAGAACTTTAAAAATACTTAAAAAGTTCTCTTTTTCAAATAATTATATTTGATTTACCAAAGTCAAACAAGTGGCAATTCCACATCGATCACATCCATATCGACACTTTTTCCTTATAAATGCAAAAATATTACATAAAATAAAATCAATAATTTTTGTTCTATAGAGAGCCAACTCTTATCATTTTGATGATCATTATTTATTTTGGGTCTTGCAGTTTAATTCACAGAATTTCTACAAAGTATTTTCATTTAAAGTGCAAAACATGCTTATAAAACAAAATTTTTCTAATCCCATAACTCTGTGGTCAGTTGTTCTGGAAAATATAAACAGTTTAATACAGTGTTAAACAAATATTTTCTATGTGAATTTATGTTTTGAGTTTTTACTGCAAATGTCACATCCATAACACTGAAATTGCTCATATATAAATATAAACCTAACTTATTTTCAGCTAAAATCTGTATAATTAAGCTTAAAATTACTTTGTTTGATTTTGTTACTCTATAATAATGTTAGTCTTATTTTATGTTTTACGTCACACATACGTCACATGACTAAATGTAGGCCTAATAATGTTATTTTAAGTTTGTTCTGTTAGCAATTACAACATTTATCATAATTTTCTTCAATTTAAGCAAAATTATTTGAGATTATCTAATCTTAAAATGACAGTGTTTTATTTAGTTCCTGGACAATAATGTTTCAGAATCAGTTTAGTTGTTGTATTTACAAGTTTATTTCTTGTATTTATGTAGATATTTGTGGTGAAAATACTGTTCCTTATTATTGAAAAGTGAAAGATTAAAGATTATAGCTTGTATCTGCCTGTCTGTCTATTATATATCTAGTTTAGATAGCTTGTCCAATATGGGGTTGAGATTTTGAATGTAAACAAGTGTTCTGGAATGCGCTGTCATAGAAACAGAAGAACGCAGCATTAAAAGTAGAAGACAGTTCAGAATCTCCTCATTGCGTCTTCTCATTGCAGTTGGTAATAGTAGTGTTCCCAGTGAATTCTGTTATTATGGCATTGAAAAGAAAGCGTTGTTCTCAAGACACTCAAGTGTATGATTTCCATACTCGTACACCTCCAACATCCAGCGCCAATGTGGCTGAGAACCATTCACCCGTTGGTGTTGGTGAGGAGATTGAGATACAAGTGAGAAAGAAGAGGAGGTGGGAGAGTTTTGAAAAGCCGCTCTCCCTTTACGCTGAGGGTAAATCCAGTCACTGTTTGTCAATCTGACCATGTTTTGTGTTCACTAGATCTCTGTACATGTACATATAGGCCCAGACAGATTCTGTGGACATGTTTTGCTATTTCTGCTGAGAATTTTGTTTAAAAAGTCTGCAGATTTATGAGGAATGATTTTGAGAGTAAAGTAACTAAAAACCGAACACGTACAATAAAAAAATAACTTTTAACTTGTTTTAGGTTTCTAACACAAATCTAAGTAGAACCAATTGTTTGGTAATCAAAGATTCTCATATTTTATCCACTAAAAGAGAAATCTTTACAACAATCTGTATTGTACATAAATAATTTAAATAATTGCAGATTATTAATAATATCAATGAAATATAAAAATGGTATAAATATCAATATTCAATGGACTCAATAATGGGCATAAAATGTGTATGATTCCGATTTGTTGAGGGCAAATTATGAGCATTCACTATAAGAAACCCAATTCATGACTGTTTCTGATCTCTAAGATGAAGTGTGTCTTTACACTTTACATCAAAATACAAATCAATTTTATAAGCCATTATCATTATCATTAATGCATGTCTTACATCTCTAAATAAGGATGACAACCAGTGGATGACTTTTCTCTGTGGCCAAAAGAGAAAACGAAGTTGTCACAGCTCTCATGTGAACGATTTTCATCCTCATACACCTCCGATATCCATCACCAGCCTTCAGTCCTCTGATGTTGCAGAAGAAAATGAGAGAAAGAGGAGAAGGACTGACAGTCCTGAAAAGCTGCTCTCCTGTAAAGTCCAGAAGTCCAGCAGCAGCTCTAGTCAGGAGGACCAGACTTCTGTTCAGATCCACAAGAAGAGTTCTGAAGGTAAATCTAGTGGTCATTTGAGAATGTGTGGCCTTCTCTCATGATCCTCTTCAGTATGAAGTAGAGTACATTACATTAAGTTCTGTAAATATAAATATATTTTTTAAAAGCACTCTAAAAGTTTCAATCACTGTTTGCTGTATTTTGAAGTGTCCACCATATCAGTATTGTGCAGGTTCATTTTCACGATGTATTGAATTATTGAATATAGGCATATGTCTATTCCACCTCAAACATTACACACGTGTCTGTCAGTGCTTGACATTTCACATCAGCTGCAATTATTCATCTTTTAACAGGTGACATTCTGGACCGGTATGAACTCGGCAAGGAGATTGGAGAGGGAGGATTTGGCAGCGTCTATGAAGGGAAGCGCTTGGAGGATGGCCTTGAGGTGAACAATCCCTTTAACATATATTATGTTCACTTTTTAGTGCACTTGATGTGATTATAACAGAAGTGTTGTTTTGTTGAGCAGGTGGCAGTAAAAATTGCCAGAAAGCCATCGAACATGAAATACATCAACATCGTAAGTAGACTTAAACATGTAAAGGCACTGACAACAGTATATTTTGGGAAGCAACACCGCCTAACTAATCTTTCTTCTAGGCTGGTCATCCTGAGCCCCTTCCTTTAGAGATCGGCCTGTTGATACTGGCTCATAGAGGCGGCAAGGTTCCAGAGATCATTGAGCTGCTGGACTGGCAGGACCAGCAGGATCGTTACATCATGATCCTGGAACGACCTTCACCCTGTGTAGATCTGTTCGACTTCATAATGTCTCTCGGCTCCATCACTGAACGCCAGGCTCAAAAGATCATGGAGCAGGCAACAACGGCCGGTCTCATGTGCTGCAGACGTGGGGTATTTCACCGAGACATAAAGCTGGAGAACCTGCTGGTCAACACGGACACGCTTGAGGTCAAGCTAATTGACTTTGGCTGTGGAGCTCTTCTCCAGGAATCTGGCTATGACAGTTTCTGTGGTATGTATTAAACTTAACACCTGTAGTCTGTACTGTCAATTTGACCAATCATGTATTTTCATGTTACAGAGAAAACATGCTTTAGTGTTTCATGCTGAGACCAAATCTTGTTTCTTCAGGCACAAAGGAGTACTTCCCACCAGAGTACTACCTGGACGACGAATACCATGCAGAACCATCCACTGTATGGTCTTTAGGAGTTCTGTTATTCCTGCTGCTGTGTCAACGATTTCCTGAAGTCATGGACACGCAGAGGATCGATGATGGAAACTGGACTGAGCCTGGATTGTCAGAAGGTAAGACGTCATTCATCACATCATAGACGAGCAGTTGTAGTTTAAATCACACAAAATGATGGATTGAAACTAAGAGTTGGATATTGGATAATGGTGACAATGTTCTGATTCTAAAGGAGAGTAGAGTCAGATCTTATAGATGAATAAAATGACAGCAGATGTAAAGTTGAAGTTGATAATGTGTTTCTCTCACTTCTTCCCACCATCGTTCTGCACAGAATGCTGTGATTTGATTCAAGCTCTCCTGCAGGAAAACCCAATCCAGCGGATTCCTCTGGAAGAAATCCTTCTCCATCAATGGTTTAAGGTACTGAACTGTAGATCAGCTTCTAATGATTTGGAAAATAGATTCTCCTTTCATTTGAAAAAGGTTTTTTTTTTTATAGATTTTATGGTTTTTGTTTATTGTGATGAATCTGAATCAATAACCTTGATTTGGTGTGTGTCTGTATGTTTCAGGTCAAGGAATAAGAAATAAGGAATGTAGTGCAAATGGATGGGAAAGATTATTTGCACTACTGAGCACCACAGTTCCTGACGCTAAAAAAGTACAGATTCAACAGGAGAGCTTAATAAAAGACACAGCAGCAACAAAGAATCCTAAAAAAAGGCCAAAGCCGCAACAGAAGAACATGCCTCAAGACAAGATCCTGGAAAAGGCACAGAAGATCCTGAGAAAAGGGCACAGCCCCAACAAAGAAAACATTTGTAAATAAAAACATGAATAAAAAAGACTTTGTCGCACCAGTCCTGTTTTCATCAAAAATACATCAAACCAGCCAAGATGCCGAAAAAGCAGACAGCAGTGAATGAAACACTTAAACACATCATCAGTTGAACACTTAAACATCAGAACAACTAAACACATACACACTCTCACACACACTTATAAAATAATGTGACTGTAACTGAGCAAAGTTTTGGGAAATTGTGAACAAATTTAGTAATTAAAGCACAATGTAGAAAAAAGAGGGAAGAGGACTGTGCAGACACTCTCTCTCTCTCTCTCTCTCTCTCTCTCTCTCTCACACACACACACACACACACACACACACACACACACACACACACACACACACACACACACACACACACACACACACACACACAGAGGCTTGAACATATCTCTTTAAGAGGATATAGAATTAATTATGTTTATACTGTACAGACTGTATTTTTTATTCTTCTACAATAACTTAAGAGTCATTTTTCTCTCGGGCACCAAAAAAAAAAGTTTCTAAAAAGTCAAGGTCTACTGGTCTGACATTTCCACATCTATAAGATTGAATAAAAATTCAGACAGTATCAGTCAGAGGCCACTAGAGGACAGACACTAGCCATTCTGCTGGAAAAGCAAAGTGTTGAAATATGCATATGGCCTAAATGACCTTTAACCTTTGAACTGTTTTTCCTTAACAGTTCTCTCTCAACACAAAAATGAGGATTTTTTCCACACTGTTCTTAACCCTGGATTACCTAGTAAATTATAAGCAGTGTAAAAGAAAAAGCTAGATTTACCCAGGGCTAAGAATGACCCAGAGTTGACCTTTTCAAGTTTTAAAATCCAAGACACAATTAACAGATGTAAGACTGTGTCGCGGCACCAATGGGATTTAACTAAAATAAAGTTTACTGAAGATAGTTTGCAGTTTCATCAGCAGAAACCAGCTTCAACACTCACAAAGAATTTGCCAGTCATTCTGCTTACAACCTCAAAACATCAACAATCACACTCTTACGTAACGTCATTAACTGCCTCATACATATAGGCGTTATAACCTAATTAACTTAAGAAATAAACTAAGAAAATTTCTGTGTGTGTGTGTGTACAATTCTGAACGATATCTCAATATCTCAAGCATACAAGCATCAGACAGCTTCTAGGCTTTTCGCACACTTATCCCTCTACCGCATGGTGTTGCCATATGGCAACATGATATTTGTGTTAATTTCCCTGCCACTGTTTCTTTAAGACCAACATTGAATTGTTTTAGTTGGAAAGAGAAGACCTTAGTGTGGCCAATGATGTGCTTTGGTTAAGTCACTTGACATGCAGTGTTTTTCTGTGGCCACAGCAGAATGAACCGCCAACTTAACCAACATATGTTTTATACCGTGGATGCCCTTTCAGCTGCAACCCATCACTGGGAAACACCCATACACACTCACTCACACACATACACTATGGACAATTTAGTTTACCCAATTCACCTCTACCACACATGTTTTTAGACTGTGGGGGAAACCAGAACACCCAGAGGCAACCCAAGCCAACACAGGGAGAACATGCAAACTCTCCACAGAAATGCCAACTGACCCAGCCGGAGCTGGATTGTGCTACCCACTGCTAAAAAATGTAGTATATTAACATTGAAATATTTGTGTTTGCGTATATGAAGCCAAGTTTATTGAACTTGTTTGTTCATTGGGCAAGCTAGAATTGTCCGTAGTGTACAGTGTGTATCTGAATGAGTGTGTATGGGTGTTTCCTAATAATGGTTTGCAGCTGGAAATGCATCCGTTGTTTAAAACGTATGCTGGATAAGTTGGCGATTCATTATGCTGTGGCGACCCCAGATTAATGAAGGAACTAAGCCGAAAAAAAAAAAAAATGAATGAATGATTGAATAACTGAATGTTCATTGTCTGTTTTCTTTAAATTTGCCTTGAAGGGAAAATACTTAAAGGGCCAAGAAACCCCTCGTTTCAGCAGGGTGTTTTTACACCTCTATTTGGAAAAAGTCAGAAAAGTGGGTGTGTCCAGCTCTGTTTAGGGGGGAGTGTCGGAGGAAGAAAAGAATGATGGTATGGGAGTGTCTATTTTTGGCGCGCTGAGTTTCAGAGTCAAAACACACACACACAGGGGAGAAAGTGACTGTGTTTACATGGACATCTGTAGTTGAATTATTTGCCAAATTATTAAATGGTGGACTTTAACTGCAGTTTTGCTCTTTCATTCAGGGAATTCATTCATGTCCTTCGCGACAAACGAGATATTTGATTCAAGGAACTGCTCTAAGCATGTATTTTTCATGCAATGTTTGATACCGCATAGCGAATGAGAGAAAAAAACCCTCAGCATTTCCCGGAAACTTAGATGCACACGGCAGGTAGCGTCAGAAAGCCGCGTGTGTTATTCCAGCCTGATCTCACGAGAAAACGTAAGCATTTTACGTTTTGCCAGTTTAGTGGCTAATTCGTACGAATTCGTACGAGTTTAGTCGTACGAAATGGCACGATTTTAAAATGGAGGCGTGTCACCTGACCCCACCCCTAACCCCAACCGTCATTGGGGGATGAGCAAATCGTACTAAATTGTACGAATTAGATCGTACGAATTCATACGAATTAGCCACTAAATGAAAAAGTTACGAATGAAAACAAAACTTAACTGCAGCAAACTATAAAAGCAACACTTCACGCTTGTTTTGCCAATACAACGTGGCGTCTCTGTCGTCTAAACACTGTGACAGTAATAAATATTAATGAAGTTGCACAATAGAGCGCGCTGATTGGTTTGAACCAAGCTTTACTCATGCATTAATGCATCACACTGTAAGACGTAATAAGACACACTCTGGCACAGATGTCCACTCTGCACGCTGGAATACACGCTATTATCTCATGGCCGTGACGCGGCTTCAAAAATTTGTTTCAAACCAGAAGTACGAATTTGCTTGAAATAACGCAAAAACAACTAATTAACACTTTTTAGTGAAATATAGGTGTCCTAATAGTGTTTTTAGCAGTGTGGGACACATATACGACTGTCAACAGCTCCAAAAATGTGCTTTGGTGTTTCGTGACCCTTTAAATGAATTCATGGGGCCATAAAATTCAATAATATAATTCAATAATTGGTATAACGTATATAACATGTCCTTACAAAGTAATTTACTTTGTCATTATTTTGTAATTACAGTTAAAGTCAGAATTATTAGCCCCCTTTTTTATTTATTTATTTATTTTATTTATTTTTTTAACTTTTCAAAATATTTTCCAAATGATGTTTTACGGAGCAGGGAAAATTTCAAAGTATGTCTGATTAGTGTTCTGGAGAAAGTCTTTATTTCAGCTAGAATAAAAGCAGTTCTTATTTTTTTTAAACACCATTTTAAAGACAAAATTATTAGCCCCTTTAAGCTATATTTTTCCCGATAGTCTACAGAACAAACCGTTGTTATACATTAACTTGCCTAATTACCCTAACCTGCCTAGTTAACCTAATTAACCCTGTTAAGCCTTTAAGCTTTATGTTCCTTTAAGCTGTATAGAAGTGTTTTGAAAAATATCTAGTCAAATATTATTTACTGTCATCATAGCAAAGATAAAATAAATCAGTTATTAGAGATAGATAAGTTATTAAAACTATTATGTTTAGAAATGTGTTGAAAAAATTGTCTCTCTTCGTTACACAGAAATTGGGGAAAATAATCAGGGGGGCTAATAATTCTGACTTCAACTGTACATTGCTATTGCATTTATTAATGTTTGTGTATTTCATGTACAGTATTTGTGTATTTATACATAAATATACACAGTACATATGTGATTACAAACTTTTAGTTTGGATGTCATTATTATGTCATTAAATTATAATTATTATGTAACAACATTGTATTTGCATTGTTATAACATTGTAATTAGATGGATGATAGTAGGGCAGAGTGGGCCACAAAGTAACACTTTTTGGTTTTGGTCAAATAATAAAGAAAGTATTGGGCTTAGACAAACCATTTGTTTTTTTACCAACAAAACACAAGCCTCTCCTACAAATGAGCACTGAAAGTAGGATCGCCAGACCTATGGTTTCTGTGCAGTGTTGTCAAAATGCCAGGAGTAAAAACGTTACTATTTACCCCACCTGCGGGGCAAGTTGTAACAGACAGAGGGTAATTTAAAAAGGCAGAGAAAACACAATTAATTTAAATCCAGTTTACTTTAAATAATAGCTATATTTTCTCAGTACCTAGCTCAATATAATTTTTATTCTACATTGCACAGTATGTTTATTTATTTATTGGATAAATACATTTGAATTTTTTGGATTATTATCCATTATTATACAATGCCTTTATTTGTAGTATTAGCAATAAAATATTCTTTGTCTATCAAAAAAAATCTATTAAATTTTTATTTTTTTTTAAGTTGTCAAAATTAAAAAATATTGTGTTAGTTTAATTGGTGTTCAACAGTGTGTGGCTTAATTTTAACACCCTGTTACAACTAACCCCGCTGTGTCATGTTTTCCT